ATATAAATGATAGTATGACGAGACGAGTTGAAATCAGGGTGACTGGCTGTCTGTTCATCCGTCCGTCCGTCCGTGCATATTGTAACTTGAGTAAAAATTAAGATATCTTGATGAAACTTGGTACAAATGTTCCTTGGCACCATAAGAAGTTTGGTATTGGAGATGTAATCGAACCATTGATCTTATTATCATTAAATTTTACATCCAGGATGATACAAGGCGGTTTTATTCGAGCCGATGTAAAAATTGGGCGTAAGACCCACATTTAGGTGAAATCAAATATCTACGGAACTTCCCGGCCAATTTCAACCATATTCGGTACATGGGTACAATTCCATATGGTTTTTATACTTTCCAGGATACAAATCAAGCCCCAAAGAATATATCAAGATAAAACTTTGCATAAATAGTGCATTTAAGGTACATATGCCATCTCAATACTGGTATCAAAGTCACTTTTTTTGTCATATGCAAATTATTTAAGTACACGTTTGAATGCTTCAGGGGCCCAAAAAATGCAGGACATTGTACTAAAGAAGCTGTCTGGTTCCACGTAATACAAACGAGGGTCTCACATGGGTAATGCAATTTTCAAAACATTAAATATATATTTTTACTGTAAATTTCATGGTTTAAAATTTATAACCTGTTTGTGTTAGTCTGTATTTTTTTTTTTGTTGTCTTTAATCACTAACACTCCGAGGAAAACTATTTTAGCAGTCAGTTAACACTCCACGACAACGTCAAACCTTTGAATTTTTTTTTAAATAAAGATAATTAAGAAAGCGTTAAGTTCGAAGAGTATATAAAATTACGAGATGTAATTAAACGTGTAAAAAGCTAACCTCGAAATCCGTATTGGTTTTTGTATGTGATTGTAAACTGTAAACAGTTTTTGTTTTAGTTTTAATCTTAACCACCGAAGATATACGTATTTCACCATTTAAGCCGAATTTTACATTACTCGCGTTGTTTGTTGGATAAGCATCTCTCGGTTTTGAATCGTAACACTCAGCTATGTTCTGTTATTTGTTCTCACATACAAATGAAGTTAATCGGTTTGAAAATCGAATTTACATTTTCCATAAATCGAAATTTGATCTGATTTCGTAATGAAATGTCTTTTTCTGGAAATCGAGTTCACATACTTAAATGTAATTTGAAAACGAAAAACTTTTAAACATGTGGTTGCTCCTTCTACATGTAAATGTAGGCTTAGGAAGGTTGGAGGAAGATTTTTCCGTCAAAAAAACCCCATTAACTTTAGTTATATATTACTAAACCACTGTAGTTTTTTTCAAGCAGAAGTGGATGCCACTAAGGTAGCGGTAGAAGCACTGCTTCGAAGTGCAGCTTCATTCAGAGAGGTGCGTATTCAATCCAACAGCAGAACAACATACCAGCGTCAAGGAGTGTCTGATCTCACTAGCAATATAACAAACTATCGATATTAGGCTGGTTTGAGTGCCTGGTCGTAGCGGAATCGCTGGAAACTGCAAGGCTGATGAGCCTTTTGATTGTAAACTCAGTAAGCATTGGTTAACAACCAACACCTATGCGACAGTAATATTTTTGGATCAAAGTGGAATTTTTTCCAACGGTCATTTGAAAATGCCCTTCTGCAAGAAATCATAATGGTGCTCCTTGTTACAGATAAAGTGAAATTCCTGACGCCTTCCTTGAATATGTGGTGTTACATCAGCGATAAGCTTTTTAAATAGATACAACCAAAAAATAGCCAATAAAAGTATTTAAATAGTACATCAGCAATTTCAAATGGATTTGAATTTTCCCTTAATAGCATACCTCTAATCTTTTATTACGTGAAGTCATTATTTTGCAATACTCTCACGGTAGCAATGAATGTAGAACTCATTTTAGTTAGAAACATTAAAATTTTTGGGAAATAAAATATTTACATATTAGTTGAAAACATATGTCATTTGCAGCAGAAAGCCGGCCTATCTGAGTGCAAAGGAACCCATGTACTCTTCATCAATATATAAAAATTTTAACTCAAGTTATGGCGATTGTATTGACGATAAGAGTGCGTTGAAGCGTCTAGTAAAGTTGTACCGTTCGTACCTGGTCGTTAAAAAGTGGTCGATACTGCAACAGTTTAAGTAAGGAAAAATTTTTTCTTTTTGAAAATATCAATAATTTTGCAAATACCTCTTTAATTGCATACTAGCTGTTTAATGCTTATAAATGTAATTAGAACCGTGTTTTTCTGTTCGAAAGTACTTAAAAGCCATTACCGCCACTAACACTGTTGGCATTAAAAAATATTGTCGGCAGCGGAACTCCTGCCATGCCAGAGACTTTTTTCACGTCATCGCTGCTGTAACCCTATAACCTTATTTTTCCAATGCTTTTTATTTTATTTCCCTCAGCTTTGCAACAGAAAACTAACAGCATTCTTAAGGACCAACAGCTTTGTTCTTTCATATAAATACAATACAAATGTGAATATGAAAAAGCAAGTATCGAAAAGCATTTACTTAACTGCACTGGATACAATATAAATAAATACATAATATGTTAAAGCGAGTACAAAATCAAAAAGTGATTCAACTCAAGACCAGCAATCTATTGCAATAATAATGAAATTTAGTTAAAATGAGATTGTGGCAAGATATTAAAAAGAAACTTACTGACTAAATCCGACCGAGGTTTGTTACTCCTCATATCCACTTAAGAGAATGCATTTTGTAGATAATAGTAACGATTGATTTTATATAATGTGTTTGTTGCTAAACTCCTGAGGCAAATTGATTAGACTAGGCAGTGGTATTCTCGTAACAGTCAAATTATTTACTAAATATATATAATACGAGTATAGACGAACAAATATCAATTTGTTTACAATGAATGTTCCTGACGAATTTTTCGACAAAGAAAACTACCAGAATAATAATATTTGTAACTTACTATTTTAACTAAGATCAAGGTTCAAGGTTCATTAAGCCGATTTAAATCAAACATTTGCTTGCATAGTGAAAATGGAGCGTAAAGTCAAAATGAGAAATATATTTTATGAAATATACTACAGCAAAGAAATAACCCAATAAAGCTCAGATTGATGCAAAAGGTTATGAAGTAAAAAAATTAAATGTAAGAAATATATAATTTTTCTTCATTGTCTGTAGCTCCCCGGTATTTGCTCTGGTTGCTGGTTAACTAGGGCATGTGTAATTGGTTTGTTGTCTCACACTATTCTGAATAAAACGAGTCAAATGAACAAAATAAGCACGTAAATCTATGTAAAAAAGATCAGTTCGAATTGGCGAAAGTAAGTTTCTTAGCTTGTAAAGAGCAAAGCGTTGTTTTTTATTATACAATATTATAAGTGCTTGCTTGGGCAAGCGTATAATAAAGTTAGGGGAAATAAGAAAAGTAACACTAAGTTTTTTGAGTTTCCTTATCGCTGCCAAAAATTATTTTTCTGTATAAATTTTTGTTAACTTCAACTAATAATTATTACCTTTTCTTAATATTTTATTATTTTAATATATTTTGGAACACATTTTTTTCTTAAATTTTACTAATACAATCAGCATATCAGAAACAAAGTTTCAAAAAGAATGTGTAGTATAAAATAAAAGACATTTTAAACACAAAGTCAACAACACTGTATTACTCAAGGTAGTGTTGCGCATTTTCTAATTCAACATTTTGGATTAAAAATTTAATTTTCGGTTTTTAATTCAAATTTGGGATAAAAAATTTAAAATTTCATTTTTAATAGCAAACATCTTGGATTCTAGATTGAAAGACTATGTTTTAATTAAAAAATTGTAACAAATAAAAAAATATTTTTCATATAGAATAAGGAAAGATTTACATATTGCTAAATGACTCACTATAATAATAAGCACTTAATTATCGGTTTGTGAGCTAAACTATTTTGATATTTAATTAAAAATAAACTTTTCTCTTCTAAAGATAGCCAAAATGAGAAAAAAAATTTAAATTTTAAAATAAATCCTTTTTTTAATTTTTAATTATTAGTTAGGATGAAAAATGTTAATTTCATTATTTTTTTAATGCTTTTTTTGCAACGCTGATCAAAGCATCTCGGCATAGAATTAAAGAAATCTTTCTCTATGGTTTTTATAACCTACCAAGTACGTTTTTGTTAGGCTTTGTAGAAAATTGTGTTGTTGGAAGGACTTTATCAGTGCTGCTTTATAATCATATATTATTGTTTTATAATCAGAAAAGGGGTGTGCTACCGCAATGACTTTCTCTGGTATTGTGGTGATGAGTTCTAAAATGTGACCGTATTTTAGAACTCACAGATATGACACACCTGAATTTCATACGCTTATTATCTAGAATAGCACCTAAATAACTAGTTAAAAATCGTTCTTAATAAAGTTTATAATATGTTTTGTGTTTATGTTGATTCCTCAATATGTTATTGTGATTTAATCATATTTTTTATATGCAAAAAATTAGAAGAGTTATTTACTATGAAAGAAACTATATTTTCTACGGAGTAAAAACCGATTGAGTTTATTTCTAATATAAATAATGTAAGTTCTTTGACGTATTTATTTTACTATTATACCCAGGAAGAAGAGCTTTTCACAACAGTTTGTTCTACATAGCCAAAATGATCCCAGATTTATAAACGACTAAAATCTGACAATCTTTTGAGTTTTTCAAACTTGTTACTCATTTTTTCTAAGATTTCGAAGTTAATTTTTTTTTGTAATTTATTAACTAATTTTTTTTTTATCCACGTTCCTTTTTGATATGTAGTACATAGTTTAGAAATTTAGTGGGTGTTATGTACTTTATTTGAATAAACAACAACAAATAAAGCTGATTTCGAAGCTAAACCAGAAACAAGAAATATATATTATACTATGTATATTTTACTAAATATGATAGAACTATGATATAATACAAAATACATATATATTTAATGTGAAAATTATTTTGTTAAAGTACTCCTTGTTTTAGGCAACTGAATTAAGGAAGCACAGACTCACTTTTCCAATACCGTTTTCTTAAAGTATGATCACTTTAAAAGCTGTTTAACTTGAATTTTTCCGTTAAAATATTTTTTCAATTTTTTTATGAGATACTGTAAGATATCTTTCTTTCAACAAATTTTAAGGTTTCTTTCTAACGAAAGTATTGTTAATTTTTATAAAACTCAATAACATACTTCGTGTACACATTTAATTTCGATTTGGATCACAAATTAATTTAACTTTCAGTTAATTTTTAATGAAATTTTCTATGCCACTGAAATAGCACTTGTTGCGCTGCACACATGAATTCAAAATATACTCTTTGAACGGTATAAGATGACGAACCACGACGGCGCCGAGTGATTCCCGCTGCGGCAAATGCACAACTAAGCAGACAGATTGAACCGGAAGCACTGAGGCCGCCGCATAGCCACTTGTGGATTCGAATGAAATGCCATCGTATAACAGTACGAAAGGCAGGCAGCCAACTAACACTGACAGACAGACAAACGAGCAACAAGTACGAGTACGACGGCGCCAACACGCGCTAACTCGGAACGTCAACAAAGGCTGAACCAACCAGCCAAACAACCAACCACCCACACAAGTATTCTGCGACAATTTGAATGGCAGTTGGTAGCACTGCGCATGCCCGTTTCCTTTACGCTCAAGACTAGACGCTATCAAGCGACCGGCACGCGGATCATCAACGCCGAGCAAGTAAGTGGATACTTGTTGCTTCGGCACTGTTGAGTGGAAATCGACATTGCGCTCAAATGCGCTTGAGTGATGGTAAGTCAGCGTGCTGAAGAAACAACTTAAAAACAGAAGCGAAGCATGGCTGATACAGTTTCACTCCTCTGCATTCCACGACCGTTGCGATTCAGATTCACTGGAAAGTGTTGGTTCAAATACTCATATTTGTGTTCATTATCAGCTGCTTGTGCGCTTGTAGGCCAGGGTTTGTTTTATTATTTGTGCAATGCCAATGGAGTGCGTGGGCTTGTGTCAGAATGTGTGTGTTATGATTAAGGGTGCTTTCGCTTGTTGTTGTTCTTGCTGTTGTCACATTTTTTCCTCATATAAAGGCATCTAAAGTTGATTACACATGTACATACTCGTACATCATTCACATAATCGTATATATACACACATATGCACATATTATGTATGTATACAGAATAGGTTTGCTGGTGATGACGTTGGTAACACTAATGTCATTACATAGATGATTCAATAAATGCAGATTATTACGATAATGGAGCGCATATGCACTTACGCTTTGCTCTAGATCCATTATGATTCCTGAAAACTTCCTACCTTGTACTTGTTCAGTCACTAGAGACTCTTTATGAGAACACGTTATGACAAATGTTAATATAGTCAGATTAATGGTTTTAGCACCTATAACGAAATTGACCTTGTCCTCTACGTTTCGCTCCATGTCTTCAAGTCATGTTAACATAGGCAAATCTCGAGACTTTAAATTAATGTTCCCAGATCTTGACGTAACGAGGCTTGTAAGTTATTTAAGCAAAAATATAACTAACAACCTTAAAATCCTTAATAATTTTTATTTTAAAACCAGACTCTCGAAAAGCATAATCATGTCTAATGTATAGTTTAAAGAATTCGATATTATTATCCTGTTACACATTATCAATAGAGGACTAAAATCAAAAATGATTAAATTTGAGGGGATTATGAAAGCAGGCAGAAAAATACTCTCTTTAATTGAAATAATATACCTCAGAGATTGATCGTTATTTCCTGTAAAAAGTTAGCACCAGGCACTGGGGTCCCCATATTCGGTAACTGGGGGCTGAATTGTTATGGTCCGATTTTTACAATTTTTATACTTGAGATGCAAATGCACTATTTATGCAAAGTTTTGTCCTGATAAATTCTTTGGTGCTTGACTTGTATACTGGAAAGTATAAAACCATATGGAATTGTACCCATCTACCGAATTTGGTTGAAATTGGCCCATTAGTTCCGTAGATATTTGATTTCACCTAAATGTGGGCTGTGACACGGCTATCGTCCAATTTTTACATCGGCTCGAATAAAACCGCCTTGTACCATTCTGGATGTAAAATTTAATGTCTCTGGCGCATTAAGTTATTGATTAATCTCACCGTTACAAGGGGAGTGTCGGGATTATGATCCATTTTCATACTGTCAAAGAAAGGGTCAAAAATATTTATTTTGTGCGAATTTGGGTCATATAGCTCGAATAGTTTAGGTGATATATATACTAAACTTATTGGAGAGCGGGGCCACGTCCACTTAAAAAAAAATTTTAAGCCATAGATGCCCCTCCCCAATGCAATTCGTTGTACTGAATAATAGCCTTGCATCTTATTGTGGAGCTTAGTTAATTATTATTAGTTAATTAAGTGTTATACACTTTATAGGTTTTCGATTAATGGCGTTTTGTGACCGTGCCAGTGGTCGGATTACGCCCATTTAATACCGAACTTCTTATGGTGCCAAGGAACGTGTGTACCAAGCTTCATCAAAATAACATAATTTTTACTCAAGTTACAGATTGCACGGACGGATAGATAGCCAGTCACCCGGATTTCGACTTGTCACGTCATCTTGATCATTTATATACAAGTATACATATATAACCCTATATCTATCTCGATTATTTTGAGGAGATACATACAACCGTTAGGTGAACAAAACTATTATGCTCTGTAGCAACATGTTGCAAGTATAAAAACTTGTGTGTTGTCGACATATGCAGGTATCAGATAATGAAACCTCGTCACAAGATTGTTTAGCCTGGATCTTGCGTATGATAATATTATACAAACCATACAATATTATCATCTCTGTATATACTTAGCTTAACGTTTTGTAGAACATTTGTGGATTGTATTCAGACTTTTTGAAATTATTGAATTACTATCCTCTACCGCAGCTATGTTACATTATATGAACCTCTCACTCATGCCACATTCAGGCTTCTCCTTACGTCCACGACAGATAATTAAAATATATATGACTCAAAAGAATTGCCTATATAATACTTCCTTTTAGGTTAGCGAGAAAATTAGATTAAAATGAAGAACTTAGATTTTATTTTTCATGTAATTAAAAAAAGTATATCTGAGTTTCTTACACATATAATCTGATACACTTTATTGGATATTAAAATTATTCATAAGTCACAAAAAATTACAAATAAATATTTCCCAAATATTGATAACAATACATTTAGTTCAATTACATAATAATATGCATACACATATGTATGTTCATAAGTGTATAGAAAATATAGTCTAGAATGTACGACTAGCTGCGGACGAAATTACGGGAATATTATATCGATTTGAATGAAAAACATTATCATTATTAACAATCCAGTAGACTAGCACTTATAGAATACCCGTACTAGTACTTATATAATTTACTTGCGTTCATAGTATGTATGTATATACATATAAATTTCCAAATATAAAAAGTTTGTATTGAGATAACAAATTATTGATTACAATAAAATCAGGATGTGATAAATCCGCGATAAAGTTTAGTATATTCTGCTTTTTCCATAATTATATGTGAATTTTTGTTACGATGATGTATTGGATGAGTATATATTATATATTATATTATATTACTTATATATATCGAAAGTAGATGAAAAAACGCTGACATCAAATTAATTGAACCTACGCGGTGTGTTTAAAAGAAAAGGTGAATTTTTGAATTTTTTTTGAAAAGTACTTATTTATTCATCAATATATACTTTGTCCCCTTCAAAGTAATGCCCCTCGGATATAATATACTCGTGCCAACGCTTTTTCCAGTCCTCGAAGCACCTCTGAAATGCGCTTTTCGGTATGGCCATCAGCTCTTTCTTCGATCCTGACTTGATCTCATCAATTGTGGCAAAACGCTTTCCTTTCATTGGTTTCTTCAGTTTTGGGAATAGGAAAAAGGTGCAGGGAGCCAAATCTGGTGAATACAATGGTTGAGGCATAGTTACCATTTTGTTATTGGCCAAAAAATAAGCATTAATGTGTGAGCTGGTGCGTTATCGTGATGCAGTGTTCACGATTTTTTTTTACGCAAACGTTGCAGAACTTCCTTGTAGTATCCCTTATTAACTGTAAGACCTTTTCGCAGGAACTCATGATGCACCACACTATTGTAATCAAAGATAACAGTGAGCAAAACCTTCACATTTGATCGAACTTGGCGTGCCTTTTCCGGTCTTGGCTCATCTGGCAGCTTCCATTGGTATGATTGGACCTAGCTTTCGACATCATAACCATATACCCACATTTCGTCACCAGCTATGACCCGTTTGAGCAAACACGGATCGATGTTGACGTCATTCAACAACTCCTGAGCGATACCTATGAGACAAAATTTAGCAAAAAAAAAGTCAAAAATCGCAGAGCACACAAAAACGTGACTTACCTTTTCTGTTGTCAAAAACAAACTACTAATCGAAATTGGCTCCTAATGCAAGCACATGGCAAACATTTGTGTCCGATTATAACAAAAATAAAATTTCGATAGTCGACACACCTTTCCTTTGAACACACCTCGTATAACTAATGAATAATAGAAGGTTTGTTACCTTAACTTACCTACATAGCTGCATAAGAACACCGCAACTCGGCTAATATTTCGTATATTCTGTAATATCAATTAGAGCATTCATCTTTCCGAATTCAGGTTTGTAAAAAACTAAATCTTTATTCTATCCTTAGAGTTCTAATCTTGACTAAAATACAGCCCAAATTGTATGACAACTCATCCAATTATTATTTGATTACAAGATCACATTCAGAACATTCCTTGCATTTCGTGTGACCATAAACTGATAGTTAACATCATTGGTACCTCAAAAATCATAGGTTTCATATCATTCACGAATTTTCAAAAATGTAAAAGGTTTGCAAGTTGAATGTAACCAAGACAACGCTCTTTTTGTGATAATACCCACAAATTGGTTACGCAATGAACGGCTCCCACCTACCGTATTCGCCAGATATGGCACCCACTGATAGTTTTCTTTTCCCAAGATTCAAAAAGTAACTCCTTGGAAAATGAAAACAAACGCCTATTTTGAAATCCTTGAACCGATATCGAACTGTTGGAGAACCTTTACACTTTGCTTTACTCTAGACGAAGATTGTGTCGAACACAAAAGCTATATTTGCGTTAAAAAAAAAGTTAACGTTTTGTTAATCAGCCCATGTCGTACTAAACCATATGTGCTGTAATTGACTAATTTTGTTCACGTATCCAACTAATGTTCGAACGAAATAAGTCCGTAAATCGCCTATTGAACTAACAAATAAGAAATTCAAGCAGATCTAAGGTGTATTTTTCCCCCTTTTTTGACAGTTCTGAAATTATTCTAAACTATCTGTACTTTAATATGCATTTCTTCTCAGCTTGTATGAATGCTTGGCAAATTTTCTTCTCAATATCAATGTCAATGTCAATTGACATTCAGGATAGCTTTCGATATTAGAAATATGTAAAGATATGCAAATCATAAATCGTTGAATCTTGAATTTTGTTTACTGCGTTGTTACTGAAATGTGAAGGTACTCTTATTCTCTTTAGATGGAGATACCAAATTAAAAAAATCTATTTTATTACATCAATCTCCAATCCGAGAGGCTTCAGAAATTATTATAATGAATATCGTAACGAATTGTTACTATCATATAGACGAACAATGCTGAGATCATGATCCGAGACTTCATC